CAGACAGACAGGCAGTGATCCTGTCAGGGTTCCTTTTTATATAGTCCCGTTCATATATCAGCTAACTCGCGAAAATTTTAATTCACATTGGACTTCCCGTACCATAACATAGAATAAATATATTATGGGAGACTTCGTAACAAATGAAAACGGCGTACCTAAAAGCTACATAAAAGTAGATAGATAGATGGAAACTTTTATTAAAACATTATTAGAAATTCGAATTGTTAAAAATGTATGTTTGGGGCGCAGTGCTGTACGGGTGCGAAACATGAAAGGCGGGCGCGGCGGAAAATAAAAGGTTACAAGCGTTCGAAATGTGGTGTTACAGGCGAATAATGAGGATACCGTGGATAGAGAAAGTTAGAAATGAAGAGGTATTAGAAAGAGTATGAGAACAGAGGACTCTTTGGAAGTCAATAAAAAATAGACGAGATAGGTTGGTAGGACACCTTCTTAGGCATGAAGGTCTAGTCAGAGACATGTTAGAAGCAGAAACAGGAGTTAAGGGGTAGACCTTCCTTAAATTATTGTTTCGCAAATAGTTAATGATGTGGGATGTTCTAGTTTTAGGGAAATGCGAAGATTACCTCAGGATAGGAAAGAGTTTACATTTACTGTATATACACAAGAATTTTACAAACATTAGACATTTTTATCCTTCTACTTGTATGATATGTTCCTCTTCCACATGATTCCCTCAAACTTTTTAAACCATCATTTCCTTCTATATGAATTTTCCATTTTTTTTGTCCTATTTCCTGTTATTCCACATTTCTTAAAAGCATATTCCAGCGTCTCTGGAACCAATTAATTTACTCAACCTGTACATTTTCTTCTCTATTCTTCAGTTCCTTGTAGTCATATTCCCATTTCCCAGTTTGAATCTTACTGTTAAAACTAATTGATTGTTTCTCATTGCTCTTTCGTCTTTCAATTCATATTTTCATGTATTCCTCTTTGTTACTCATTGATGTCTTTAGTTAAACTTTCCCGTTTATTCCATACACTTCTGTTTTTTCCCGATTTCCATCCGTAATGCTGGATTTCCCATTCTCTTTCTATTAAAATAAACAAAAGTATAATATATCTGCAATTAATTAAACTAAAAAGAGACCCACCCAAATTACCACTATAAACTGATTATTACAGACACGTGTTTCGCCAATTCTTAATGTGGACATTATCAACACGAGACACGTGTCCTCAACAATCAATATACATACATATAGTGGTAAATTGAATGAGTCTCTTTTTAGTTGATTTAATAATTTACCACAGTTTCCAATTTCTACATTATCTGTAATTATTATTATTCAGTACAAATCCAAAAATATATCATCATTCGCGTGTAACACCACATTTCGAACGCTTCTAACTTTTTTTTTTTAATCTTTTTTGAATTTCTAAACTAATTGTTCACGTGGATATAAGTGACTTCTACTATATTATTTGCCCAAAAAATTTTACTTTTTAGTCGAAAGGAGATGAAAAGTAGAATACGCACCAGATAAGGAAATATGAACTTTTCGGAACTGAGTTCACTTCAGTCCCTGAGAAGGTAACCTTGTTACCTAAAAGTGCTTCGGAAAAGTCAAGTATCGTGTTTTGGCGTTGGGGTTTGAGCTATTTTGTTGTTCTACCAGAGAATTTTCAGTTACGTGGGATCATTTAGTTGTGATTTTACTTACATTGTCATTGTAGCAGGGCATTTTATGTTAAATGGACCTTAAAGCAAAACCTACAACGATGTGGACCACCCTTGTCCGATATACATGTGTAAAGAAAAAAGCTAGTTATATCTCAATCCGTAAAACTCAACCAGCTGTTACACTTAAATTTTACCGAACTGTTCTCATACAAACCTTGTTCAGGTCGTATGCTCTCGACATCAGACCACGCATTCATTCAAAATAACAATAAGCATTCTGATTTTTTCCAAACAAAGGATCGTGAGTGCCAACCAACTGCCAAAGTGCAATTAAAAAAATGCACTTAAATAAAATAACGAATTAATTTAAAAACATCTTCAAATTAGCACTATATTTATAGTACTGCCCAATATTTGAACAAAACGAAAATACAAGCTGTTATTGGATTTGTCTCCTTCTGTACAACAATATAATATTCCTTTTTTAAGTGGCTTCAAAGAAAAGAGTATACAGTGGTTATCTTCGTTAAAGAATGCGCTGTCCGGCACCTCCACCATAATTTTTTTTATTCGATGCGCAAGGCGCTAGCAAGATTTTGAGATATCGTTAAACAATTTCCACTGTGTATATCAAACTGTTACCGATAACGGCGCGTCTTTTTAGTAGCAAGTGGCAATTAAAAAAGAAATTATATCTGATGCTGTCCTGTCCAGCACAACAGGTAAGGTTTTTCAAAGGTTTTCCAATGGACGCTGTATGTAGGTAACCTTTGAAGAATCTAGCGAAACATTAGGAAGCATTTCCAATCGACGACGGCTTTTAGATCCGAATCAAGACAGCATCAGTATCAGTTCACCTTCTGGTCACGAAAGCCTTTACCNACGTGTAATTGGATTTATTTAATGTGGTGCTAGTTTAAGAACTTTTAAACAGATATTTGACCTATTTCGTAATCAGTTCAGGTTCCAATTGCAAATCAAAAATTCCACTATCCAAAGTGAATGATTTATTTTATCAACGCACAGTTTTTTTGCTGTATTTAATTGAAGAGGCATTTAAAACATTTAATTAATCAATTAAACTGATTGAAATGTATTTATACGTTCCGATATTTGTTCTTTCGCCTTACTTTAAATAAATATTGCATGAGAAATATATTTCTGTCGACATTATTCTTGTAACAAAATAAATTGTGTGCATTTACCAATATTTATTTTGTTTATCATTTGTTTACATTATAATTTGGAATTTTATAAAAAAATATATCACAGTTTTCAAGAATTTTGATGCACATGATCTATTACCCAATGATTAACGTACGTATTATTAATAAAATAAAGTTACGTATACTTACTTAACTGTGGGTGATTAAACATTTAGGTATAATCTATTTTTAAATTTTTATAAAATGTATGTACTTAGGTTTTGTGATCATCTCTTTTTAGGGTTTCGTCCGTCTGTCTGTCACCAGGCTATATCTAATGAACCGTAATACTTAGACAGTTGAAATTTTTACAAATGATGTATTTCTGTTGCCGCTTTAACAACAAATCATCATCATCATAAGGTCGTCAGTCCTAAGACTGGTTGGACACGCTCCTCCATTCTTTCCTATCCTGCGCTAATCTTCGCATTTCGCTAAAACTAGAGCAACACCGACATCCTTAAGTATTTGCAAACCGTAATCTAATCTAGGTCTACTGCTACCCCTCCTAACATCCGTTTCTGCCTCTAATATGTCTCTGACCAGACCTTAATGCCTGAGAAGGTGTCCTACCAACCTATCTCGCCTACTTTTTATTGACTTCCATAGAGTTCTCTGTTCTTCTAACCTCTATCCACGTTATTCTTATCATCCGCCTATAACACCACATTTCGAACGCTTCTAACCTTTTCTTTTCCGCCACGCCCACTGTCCATGTTTCGCACCCGTACAGCGCCGTGCTTCAATAACAACAATTACTAAAACAGAATAAAATAAATATTGAAGTGGGGCTCCCATACAACAGACATGATTTTTTTGTCGTTTTTACAGATAATGGCAAGGAACCGTTCGTGCGCGAGTCCGACTCGGCCGGTTTTTTTAATTTGAATGCCAAAGTTTCAAAAATTATTCCATGTAATGGCCCAAATAACCAAAATATTTGACAAAATCTTATAATGTTATATAGTAAGCATAAGCAATTCTTGTATAATAAGTGGATATCCGAAAATGGCTCTACGGATATTGACAAAATTGACGGGTTAGGATTTCTTAATCCAAAAATTTGATTGAACAAGGTCCAATTTTCTGAAAAACTAATTTCCACGCAATTATTATCGGAAATAATTATTTTTACAGCGTTTACTACTGACTTAAGTAAAACATATCGGGTATGCACCCCATATTGTATATATACCTAAGAATTTATTTTGGAATGACAAATTAAATACATATGTGTTTAGATAAGAAGACATCGACTCTTATCGTATATACCACATTGTAAAACATACAAATAAACGTATCTACCATTAAAATTTTAAATGCCGACGCTAATTCGTACAAAAACCCGACTCTGACATCTCTTTATTATTATCATATGTACACGCAGTTGGTTTTGCAAAGAGATTAACGTTTATTTTCCATAATTGCAGGCCACTTAAGTCTGCACCTCAGAGTAAGTCATTAATTCATAATCATTGCTTTGATTAAAAATGATGGATACTTAATTTGCTTATGGGATCAAGTTTAAAATAGTAGTTATCATTGTGTTAATTAATTTTAAAAATGCAAAAAATTCAAATTTTTATGACAACGCAAAAATTACAATTTTCGAATTTGCCAGTCATTTGGTAGTTTTGCCTGGAAAGTTTTCCGGGAGTTTTGAAAATTGGTAATTTTAAAAAATTTAAAAAGTAGGCCATATAAAATTTCTACAATGGTTTGCTAGAACTGCTTTTTTTAATGTGATGTTTTCGATACTAAGAGGACAAGAAGTCACACTAAAAAAATATGGTGGAGGTGCCGACCTTAAAGATGGCATATCTATCAGACATTCAAACTTTCGATTTTCAACTGTGTTATGTATTATATCAATTTTCTTATAATCTAAGCACAATCTATATTCTGCTATGGATACATAAGTACATATATCAATTATTTTTTTTGCCTATTCCGTCATTTTTGTAATCTGTTAATGCAATCAATTTACAATCAGACATAACGCAATAAGTAAGTACAAATTTTTCGTCAATTATCAGAAGTATGCTAAAAAGCGAGCGATCCCATATCTCGGTAAACTGCTGATAACGATTTGATAACGTGCTATCTAAAGTTGCTTACATTATGAATGTATTCTTCTATTTAATCTACTTACATTGCACAGCGTTCATTTTCCTAACAATGTTTCTTAAGGTTGTGTTTAATTATGTCAGTGTAAAGTGTACATATTCTGTACGTGTAATTGGATTTATTTAATGTGGTGCTAGTATTATTAGGGTGACGCAAAATCACTTTACATACAATATTGTGGAAATTATGCGCAGGAGTCCGTACGGTATGTTATTTTGTTATAAATAATACGTGTTAGAAAATAGTGATTACAATACTGTACTAATACGTTACAAATCGCAGGACGGCTCATACTTCTTGCTATTGAGAAAAATCTAGTACCTAGTCATTAAAAATGTAGTTTTTGATATGAAATGGAAAAAAAATTGTTCAAAACAAGTTCTGTACGTCTGTATGTACGTACTCCTAGCTTTTTTTATTAGAGTCGAGTGCAAGCCAAGTAAACGAAATTTTTATCACTATATAACCAGTGCCGTCTTTAGTGGGGGAGGGGGGAGCTATAGCCTTATAGATAAGAGACCCTGTTTTCATTAGACTAATTTTTGGTAAAGGTCTAGATGATGGCCCCCACCCCCTTTGGGAATCGAAAGCGAAGATCTTCCCTACCGCTGTACCATAAAAAGTTTGTGGTGGTCTCATCCCCATAAAAAGTTATGGAGGTTAGATGATGGCAGGGGGATCGAAAGAAGGTGATCACCTGAGTAAAACCCCATAAAAAATTTACGGCGGTCTCACCCCCATAAAACGTTATGGGGGTTGAAAGTTGATTACTTTTATTATTCATACACTATAATGCAAATAAAATTCAATAAAAGAATTATTTTCAAGCGGGTGGAGGTGGGGGATCGAAAGAGGGTGGTCACTTGAACAAAACCCGATAACCTAACCTAACCTAAAGATATTTAAATAATGTTNCTCAATATTTTTATGTATTTTTAATTAGTTTTACCTTTGAATATTGTTTAAGAATGACTATAAATATTTACATGCCTAGAAATGTATAAAGATTGGCATATTCATTAACTTTGAACACCCATAACTTTTTAGTGAGACCGCCACGAACTTTTTATGGTACAGTGGTGGGGGAGGCCTCCTCTTTCAATCCACCCACCCCCACCCCTTCGCGGGCGTGGGCCATCATCTAGACCTTTACCTAATTTTTTTTTTAATCTCAATACTCAATACAATTTTTTAGTAGCGGTTAATATTTTAATAATTATCAAGCATTAATGCAAAATCAATTCAATTTTATTCCACTACAGATTACCGTAAGTTAGTGAGAAAAAAAATTTTTGCTCTTGCCGGGAATCGAACTTGGGCCCCAGATCACCACTAAGCTACAGCAGCAACAACGATGAAACGTACTGGTTAGGTCCCAGAATCGTCGAAACCATCCTCGTAGTTTAATGGGACGTGTACTGGTGCGTAAAGCCGGGGACTCGGGTTCGATTCTCGACGAGGGTGTGACAACAGCAACAAATTTTGATTGTATAGTTTTATGAGATTCATAATCTCTAATCGAGTTTTGGTGGCTTTTGTTTGGAGTTTAACTTTCACCGTAAAAATCGCACGCGCACGACAATTATTATTTTTCATACCTGCCTGTATGACTCAATTTTGATAACATCGATTACTGCCTATCTGTAAATTTTATAAATATTCAATTATCTGTACCTTCTATCCTCATATTTTTTATAATATTCATTTATCAGTATCCTCTATGCACATATTTTTTATTTTGAAATTGATATATCTCTACTTATCTTGTATACGTACACTCCGAAAGTTACCTGCTGCTTATTTTTCAAAAGATTTGAAAGGGTTTTATGGACCAATAATTTAGTTTAACGAGTTCCAATATCGGATAATTTAAAAATAGTGAAGTTAAAAGATTTTTAGATCGAGATTCGATTTAAAGTTGTCCCATCGGAAAAGTTGTTTTTATGCAATTTTAATTCAAAAACTGCAATTTAAAAGTTCATGAAGTTGGGTGAACTTTGTGGTTATTCTTTTATTATCATGGTGTACCCACCAATTTAATGCATTACTTTCTAAAAAGTGCGTTTATTAATAACGTAAAATATAAAATAAACAAAGTTGGTATAGGGATCCTGACCAGTATCGTGTTACATTGTGATTTCGATCTTCGATCTTCTTCGTCTCATCAGCAGGTCGGACACCGTTTTATGAATTACTACAAATAGCGTAGTGAACGCCATCTACAAAATATTACTATATTTGGTGATGCTCGACGCGATATATGAGTCCATAAGGATATTGACTTGTCGAAGTGAATCCACGGCGTAGCTACCCCTACGTGGTAGACACATAACCAAACAGAACAACAATGTTCATTATGTCTTGCACTCACTTTATAGTGAGATTTTTCTCTCTGTGGAGCATTTTTGAATTCCACAAAATGTAGCAATAATTTGCAGATGGCGTTTATTACTCTATTTGTAGTAGGTAATTAATAAATACATATATACTACTAAAAGTATAACAGTTAAATTGTTATCTACCAATTTTGTCTCTCTAGGTTGATAGCTGTTAACCAGTATGAGATGTTTTAAATTGTTTAGTTTTATTTTTAATAACAGTTATATAGCCAAATTAGGTTTTACTGTGCTCGTTTAAAGGTCACTAACTGTATGAATGAAATAAAAAAACTCAGGAAATTCAAAAATTTTTGTAATTACAAAAAATATGCCTCAGAAAATTGTTTTTTATAATTCATACTGTCAAAGTTGCTCCATTAAATCGATATCTATTAACCAAAATTTTTTAAAGCCACTAAAGATTATAAATCTATTCCCTTGTCTCATGCTAAAATTATACACGTTTATCTTATTTTGGACCTACGGATTTTATTGGGGGGGGGGTTATGTTGATTACTGTCAGTAAAGTGTAATTTACTTAATGGCAATTAAGTAGTAGTACTTATTTGGATTTAAAAAACGATTTCATGTACATTTTCAATAAATTGTTTATAATTATGTAGGTACTAAAAAAGTATATCGATTATAAAATAATATCTGTAACTGGGGCATCTACAATAACGTAGGTAGAAAAACTACGTCGTGATAATTAATACGTTTATATACGTGTATGATTAAATAAAGTTGATCTGACATCACAAGAGAAAAACTTGATTAAATTACGAAATCGATTTTCTACTATGAAGGGGAACGAACCTCGCTCTAAAAATCAGCTTTATACAATACCCAATTATCCTAGTTAGAAATGTTAAATTATTGAAAACCATCCGACATTTCTGTATTTTATTAGGTGCCCACTATTGTTTCTCTTTTGTTTTATTTCATTACGAGGCCTCTACATGCACGTGTATAATAACAATAAAGAGCCTTACGTAATTATTGTTGTGATACAACACACTCTGGGTCTTTTATACTCGGAAAAATGGCTCAATGATCTCCACTTATTATTTAGCAATAGAACTGTTACAAATAATAATTGTTTTTATTTTTGAGAAACAAGATGTCTGCAATTAATAAAACATCGATGTGTCAAAACGAACGTGAAGAGTTGTTGAAACATTATGTGTTTGTTCTCACTAAAGATGCACCTGAAAACCCACGCGGTTAATGGTTCATGTCTTCGTTCTGGCTTGGCTGACTTTCTATTAAATACCACCCTTACGAACGTCCGAAACCACATTAAGTCCCGTTCAATAACTCGTTTAAACATTAAACCACTTCGTTGGCGGATTTTCAACGAGAGGGTTGAGTTGAAACAATTGAAACAAGCCTATTGGGATCCGTCAAATGGGCATACACCATCTGGTGGCAAAATTTATAACTCGAATGAGGGAAAAATTTACATAGGAACTGTGCACGCAAATTGTAAAATTGTTTATTAAAATAATAAAACACGTTAAAAAAGTAAAAATTTTTTTGATGATGGAGTCGACGAAGTTTTCTTCTAAAGTTAAATCAAATAAAAAGTTAATATGTTCAGTGAAAAGCTGCAATAGCACTTCAGACATAGATCTTCACTCTTCACCTACATTAACTACTTTCCAATAAAAACTAACCGTTTTATATATGTAAAAAATATATTCGGAAAATTAGAGAAAAAAGTAAACTAATAGAAGCTTGGATGAAAGCAGTAGGTATCAAAGAAGTGAATTCCGGAATAAAAATTTGTTCACGTCATTTTAATGCACATGATTATATTTCAGCAAGTATTTACCATCAGCCATAACCTTAATATTTAAAACTAGAATCATACTAAAATTATAAAGTGAGAAATTATTTATTCCTGTGTAATTGATTTAACACAATTCTAATGATACGATATAAGTATTTTGAGGTTAAGAACCTACCTGCTGCAATACAACAAAGTTGCAATAATGTGTTTGCAACGTTCTCTTAAATCGGCTTTGCACGTGCAAGTCATTGATATGATATTGCTTAAATCACCCAGAATCACCTCACCAATTATATAACGTGAATCACTTTTTAAATCCGAAGTTTGTAAAAAGTAGGCAGTAAACTTGACGGAATTTGAAGGCTAGCTTCCGGATTTGTTATTTCCGAATTTTATAATGTGATTGGCATTAAAAACACGCTCATCTTCAACGAAATTTCCTTTCCGAGACTTTGTGTCAGCCCAATCACATATTGTGTCAATACTTATCATTTTATCGTAATTTAAAAACTTGGAAATTGCACGGTACACTATAGGAACTACGATAAATTTTCCCTAATCGGCGCCATGTTTTTAGGCTCCTCCCATTTGACGGATTCGAATAATGTTCATAAACATTATAAGTCTGCTAGGTGACGAAGTTATACTTATAAGTTATCGTTATCAAAACCTGATATGCTAACAAGTGACAGAAATTGTTACAGTTCGGTCATAGTGATGTATTATTCTTCACAAGAAGAAGTAATCACGAAAACTACATCGAAATAACACATAATTTAGTATAGTAATCAGTAAATAATACTAATTTAGGTCAACAATCTATCCCAATACAATCCTAATTCCATTTTTTTCTAGGTAGGTTTTTTGTTATACTTATCAAGTTATTATTGTTGGTGTTTGTTTTTTTCTGGTAAAATTACCCTTCATTGCAGGGTACTCTGTGTCATTATCCGGTACTCGGCCGCACCCTAAAAAAAATACCGAATCTGCCGCGTACCGAATCCAAACCGAATATAGTTGGGACAATCAAAATTGGCAATGTCCTTAATAAATTATCAGTGAGAATGGACGTATCTTCTTTCTAGTTTCCACTTGAGACTGTAATCATTTGCTGTGTTTTGAACACGCCCTTGTTAAGTTAGGAAATGCTTCATGAGTAGTACAGGCAAATTAAAAAAAGAGATAACCGAATAATAGTAAGCGATGCAATGGTTAGAGATTGCCACGAAAGTCAATCAGGGTCGGCTTTATAACTGTCTGGTTGGAATTCCTGAGAATGTTGAACTTTGAACAAGTCCGACCCTGGCAACATGCTCAAATTCTGCTTGTCTGCATCTATTTCTGTTACACATTAATCAGTGTAATCTTATTCCTTTTTCTTTATTAGTGTTCGCTGCAATTCCTACCTGACATCTCTTTTCTATGTTTACTATTTTATTATCAAAGTAGGTGTTCAGTCAGCAACCGTTCTAGTCTAGTTAGTAAGTTGAAAGAAGAAAGTAACTACGACACTTTTATTGCGGACTATGCCAATTTTGAACGTTTCAACTATACCTGGCCTATTTCTAGTTCTCACTAGCCATTGAAGGTTCATCTCCTGCGCTGCAAAAATTCAAAACGTCCTGACCTGGAAATTATACGTATTTTGTGACTACAGTGGACCATCTAAGAAGAAAAGAATATTAAAACTTTTTGTGTTGCAAGCTGCAACATTTGATAGTAGCATATGTACATATTTTTGTGCTTCTGATAAACAAATTTTATGTAGACCGCATTGGAGATGCACTTTGATTTTTTATGTTTTATCAGGTGCCCTTTAATCCAAAACATCAAAGATTTAAAGCCGCATGAAACGGTTAGTTAATGAATTAATAAAATTATAAATAAATCCTTGTTTCTTAAGCATAAAACTGATATATCCTCGTTACTATCTGAAAATGTGTATGCATTATCATTTATTAATATTAGTATACATGGAAGTTTAAAAATAAAATTTGATAGAAATACATAGAATGTTGTAGACATTATATCACAAGGTTCTTGAAAATTATTGCTGGTGTTTATTAAATGCTGCAAAAAAACGACCATTTTCGCATAACTAGAACTAGGGTTGCCACCTTTTCAGGCTTTACATAAAGTATTTCTCGACTAAATGGTTCAAAAAAAAGTACTTTTTTGTTTTTAAAAACATATTTTTTGTCACTCCTAGCAGCCAGTAACAAATTGCTGTCGCTCTTAAATACATTAATAGCCTCTAAACATGGCAAACAAAGATTTAAGTAAACTAAAAGTTCATTTTTAATTAGTTTTAATGAAGCTTTATTCCTGTCGTCCCGCCACTTTGCGTTCATAACAGACAATACTCTTTCTGCAAAAGTGACACTACTTTGAACAGATTTGGGAAATCAGGTTGTTCCGTACTTAAAAACATTCTCAAAAATATTGTATTGTGCAATATTATTGATGTAAAAATACTCTGAATTTCGAATAATCGCTTATAAAATTACGATGTTTACTTAAGGCCTTAAATAAAGTATTTTTGTGTACTACTTTATGTGTCTTGTAAAATATAACGTACGCACAGTCGAAATAGTGTACAATACTTTATAATAAAGTACGGGTGGTAACCCTAACTAGAACCCAAAAAATAGCTCTGTCTTGTTTTCGTTTGGAGCACCCTGTGTAGTACCTATAAAGACGACAAAAAGTAAATTAAAATTGAGAGAAAAGGTCGCTTGCTTTTGTTTTACAATAGATATATTTATTGTAACATAAACCTATATTACACAAGCGAATAGAAATATTACATTAAAAATGAAGTTAAAATACATGGGACCTTTAATTATATAGACGCCATAACAATGTATTTCGTCGTAAGTGAAAGTGTTCATGTTTGGTTTTACTAGTATGACTAAAAATGAAATAAAAGTATTTTACAATTGTTATCAAGCCATTCGTGTTCACGTAACAATTACGTTTTAAACATTTTGATAAGAAACAGAAATAGAGTTATCGCATACTCTTGTTTTGAAGAGCAGCTGCAGTATCTTATAATAATTAGAAATAAGTTGTACAGCTACCGTTGTGTTTTTTCCAGTGGGCCCTGTACATTATGAGCCAAGAGGTCCTCCAAAAGTCCAAGTTCGAACCAGCATGAGCCAGCGAGATGAAGTGCAAAAATTTGAACAGGGCCGTATTAGGTTCCTGCAAGAAGAAAGGCTTCACATACAAAAGAAGACCTTCACAAAATGGATGAATTCTTTCCTCACAAAAGTAAGACTAATTTATAGATTTAGAAATCATGTGGAAAATAATCAATTTGAAAAGGCATTTCGTGAGATTTCGTAAGACTAATAAGGGCGTGACTTGCCTATGGCTTTATTTAATAGGAGTATTTATTATTGTGTAACATAAACTAATTATTGATATTCCCATTTTTATCATTTAAATTTATTTTTGAATAATTTATGCAATACGTATGTATTTTTGGTAAATACAGAACCTCCCAACTATTAGTGCAAGTTAAAATTAGATTCAAAAAGTGCGTTATTTTTTTATTTTAAATTTGAAGTAAGTAGTATAAATAATGTTTTGGTTGAGGTACTTCTTGTTAATGTTTGTGATAATTTTCAATGGATATTTAGTATTTAGCATTATACACCGCAATAAAAAAATGCCCACTATATACTTATATCGTAAAATAAAATTAACTGCTGCATGACTGTAGACGCTTAAAAAAAAAAGATAAAATTGTTAAGATTTATTTGCATATTTTTTCCATTTTATCGCTATAAATTAATCAAAATATTGCCGTTCCGTTTTAGACCTGTAATAAATTAATATGATTTTATTGCATATTAAAACACATTGACCAGTCGTTTAAATTTATGCTTCTAATAGTAAAGATACCTTGAATACACTGATTGTTATCGTTTTGTTAGAGCTAAGGAGTGATCCGCGAGGGAATTATCATTTCAGCAAATATTGTTTAATGTTCTACGTAAAATATATGTACACTTGTTTGTAATCTTTGAAGAACCAAACAAAGAAAAGTGCTCATACATTTAGTGTTCACTTATATGTATGCAGTATGTAGGTAAAAAAAGGTATCAGAAACAACACGAGTACTACTATCTCAGTTAATAATAAGCCAAGAAGTTTTACCCTTTTTTGCCAATGACTTTTGTTTTTTAAATAGATAGCACTTGATTTAGGACTTCCTACCTAAGAAAAAGTAGGGAAAGAGCGAATATAAAGATAGGAGACGAAAAATTAGAAGAAGTGGCTGATTTTAGATACCTATAGGAAGTCAGATAAGTGATGGTGGAAGGAGTAGTAGGGATTAAAGCAGATGATAGCGCAGGGTCGTGTCGCCTTTAATAAAAAGAAGTCACTTCTATGCTCGCGAACGGTTAATTTAGAAATTCGAAAAAAGTTGTTAAAGGTATATGTTTGGAGCACGGTATTGTACGGGTGCGAAACATGGACAGTGGGCGCGGCAGAAAAGAAAAGGTTAGAAGCGTTCGAAATGTGGTGTTATAGGCGGATGATGAGGATAAGGTTTGGAAATCAATAAAAAATAGGCGAGATAGGTTGGTAAGACACCTTCTCAGGCATGAAGGTCTAGTCAGAAACATATTAGAGGCAGAAACAGGAGTTAGGAGGGGTAGAGGTAGACCTAGATTAGATTACTGTTCGCAAATAGTTAAGGATGTGGGTTGATCTAGTTTTAGCGAAATGCGAAGATTAGCGCAGGGTAGGAGAGTGGAGGAGCGTGTTCAATCAGTCTTAGGACTGACGACCTTATGATGATGATGACCTAATGCAGCATTCTTATTCAAATTCAAGCGTAGAGAGCAATTTTTTACTTTTTTTTAGGCTCGCATGGAGGTAGAAGACCTCTTTGTCGATCTTGCCGATGGCAGGAAACTTTTAAAATTGCTAGAAATAATTTCTGGTGAAAAATTAGGAAAGCCGAATAATGGTAGAATGCGGGTCCATAAAATCGAAAACGTAAACAAAAGTTTATCGTTTCTCCACACGAAGGTCCGTCTAGAAAGTATCGGTGCTGAAGATATTGTAGACGGCAACCCTCGATTAATTTTAGGTTTAATTTGGACGATTATTTTAAGGTTCCAGATCCAAGAAATCGAAATTGATGTGGTAAGTGAAGCGACACCGTATTTTTCGTTTATTTTTTCTGTAACTTCATGGCCCCTTTTTAGGACGAAGAAAATGAAAGTTCGGAAAAGAAATCAGCCAAAGATGCGCTGTTGCTTTGGGCGCAGCGCAAAACTTCGGGTTACCCCAACGTCGAAATTACAGACTTTTCTGGTTCGTGGAGGAACGGTTTGGGCTTCAATGCCCTAATCCATTCTCATCGACCGGATTTGTTTGACTTCAATAGCTTAAATCCAAATAAACATATCGAAAATCTGAACCACGCCTTCGACGTGGCTAATAACGAACTTGGCATACCTCCACTTTTAGATGCAGAAGACATTGACAACAGCAGACCTGATGAAAAAAGTATAATGACTTACGTAGCTTCCTATTACCATACATTTGCCAGAATGAAAAACGAAGCCAAAAGTGGAAGGCGAATTGCAAAGGTAAATTTCAACCCCAAAATTATAAAATGTGATCGAAATAAATATGTAAGGTGATATTATAAATCAAAAATAATTGGTAAAACCACTTATTAGGGCATTGATAAAAATAACTCGTTGTGTTTAAAATCTGTTGAGCTTAGAATAATGAATAAAATAATTCGAAGTGGTCCGTATTCTGTCGAAACTGCCAGACGCAGATCGCGATTTCGATCTTTTTGGATCTCATCAGCGCGTCGCAGGCAGCTCCGACAGAACACAGCCCAACTTTTACCTGCTGTCTTAACAGTGCGTTTTAGAAAATACTACAAATGGCGCAGTAAACGCCATCTGTGGCACGATGCTACATTTTAGGATTACGTATGCTCCAACAAGGTTCACTTGTGTGGATATCTACTTGCTGAAACGAACCCCGCCGTAACTAACCTCAACGTGATAGACACGTTACCATAATCGAATAAAATAATTCGAAGTGGTCTGTATTTTGTCGAAACTGCCAAAGAGCTGCCTGCGACGCGCTGATGAGATCCAAAAAGATCGAAATCGCGATCCGCGTCTGGCAGTTTCGACAGAATACATACCACTTTGAATTATTTTATTCGATTATGGTAACGTGCCTATCACGTTGAGGTTAGCTGCGCCGGGATTCGTTCAGCAAGTAGATATCCATATATTTAAATGGACCTTGATGGAGCATACGTAATCCCAAAATGTAGCATCGTACTACAGATGGCGTTTTGCGCGCCATTTGTGGTATTTTCTTAGAATAATGACTTCGAATGGTTTGTTAAAAATTAGTACTTACCTTTAAAACTTGCAATTTTGAGGGTAAGTCATTGAAGAAATTGCTTTTTTTGACTACCGGGCCACAAGTTTCATATTATTTTTTAAACTCCAGATTGTAAGTCAAATGGCAGAGGCAGATAATATGAAACTAATCTACGACAAACTTACAACTGATCTACTCGAGTGGATTCAAGCTAAAGTCTTGGAATTAAGTGATAGAAATTTTCCTAATTCTTTAGAAGGAATTCAAAGTCTTCTTGTATCTTTTGGACACTACAGAACCCAAGAAAAACCTCCAAAGTATAAGGAAAGAAGCGAAATAGAAGCACTTTTCTTCCAAATCAACACCCAACTGAAAGAATTAAGACAACCTGCTTTCATTCCAATTGACGGAAAGATGGTCCAAGATATCGAAAGAGCATGGGAAGCTCTGGAAAGAGCAGAACATAGTAGAGAAGTAGCTTTGCGAAGTGAATTGAGGAGGCAGGAAAGACTGGAACAATTAAATTATAAGTTCGAAAGAAAGAGCATCCTAAGAGAGGGGTATCTTAAGGAAATGATCCAAGTGTTGTCGGATCCCAGATATGGATCAAATCTAACCCAAGTCGATGCTACAGTTAAGAAGCATGAAGCTATTTCCGCTGATATTTTGGCCAGGAAAGAACGGTTCCACGATTTAACAAACATGTGCGAAGAATTAGTGAGAGAAAACTACAAAAATGCTGAAAGAGTAAAAGCCCGTGAAAGTGAAACGTTAGAAAAATGGCGACATTTATTACATCTCCTTGAAAAACACAAAACCAATCTGAATAATATGGGCAACGTGATGAGCTTGCTTAGAGAAATCGATAGTGCCTTGACGACTATGGTCGAACTAAAGTCAGAATTGTCATCAAACGATACTGGAATCCATTTGCTGGCAGTCGAAGAATTGTTGCAAAAGCATGCACTTCAAGAACTCCAAGTCACTTCCGTGGGGGAGTCATGTAGAAGGGTGCGTCGATTAGGAGACATTTTGGCATCTCAGAATCCTAGAGAAGAAAAAGTGATCAACGAGAAAATTGATGAGATGGAAACAGCTTATCAAGAGCTACAAGAAAGTAGTGCAAAAAGAAAGGTTCTGTTGGAAGATGCAAGAAACTTCTTTCAGTTTTTACAAGATCAAGAAGACGAAGAGGCTTGGATTATCGAAAAGCAATTCTTATGCCAAACGGGGATCATTGCTAAAGACCTGAGAGGTGTTCTAAGTCTCTTACAGAAACACAAATTACTACAAGACGAAATTAAAATGAGGAAAACAAAATTCGATCGTCTTTGTACTATTGGAAAACAACTTATCACCGAAAAACATCCTCGTTCTGCCGAAATTCAGCAACGTTTCGACTCTACCAATAAAGAATGGAACAAATTGGAAAAACTGGTTGCCGAACGTGCCAAACAGCTTAACGATGCTGCCGAAGCTTATCAGTTTTACGCTGATGCAAACGAAGCTGACTCCTGGCTAAACGAAAAGATGTCCATTTTGGCGTCCACAGATTATGGGTCAGATGAACCAAGTGCACAAGCACTTCTCCAAAGGCACAAGGATCTCGAAGGCGAACTTAACGCCTATCATGGAGACGTACAAAGTTTGAACGCCCAGGCTGAAAAACTGATTGCGGCTGGGATTTCCAATCTGAATCTCGGTACCGAGACTGAAGTGAATGGACCTGTTGAAGAATGGACCCATGAAATTCGGTAAGAATGACACGAAAATTAATAAAAAGGTAATCATTAGGTTAATAAAGCTTTATTTTTTTATTAAAGATTGGTGCCTAAAGAAGTTTGGGAAGAAGAACCTGTGGAGAAGATCGAACACAAAACCCACGTTGAAGAACGCAAAGTGCCACAAGTGAAAGCCCTTTATCCTTACACCGGACATGGATTTTCTATGAACAAGGGCGAAGTTATGTTCCTCTTGAACAAAAGTAACCCAGATTGGTGGAGTGTTCGTAAAGCTGACGGTACGGATGGCTTTGCCCCCGCGAATTACGTCGTTGAAGTTGAATCTAGAATTATGCATATTCAGGTAAGTTTCAATGTAACTCTGTAAAAATTAATATTTTATTGAACTATTGTTCTATTTTATATTTAAGGTGAGAAAACCTGAAAAAGTAACGGTAATGCAAAAAGTAAAAAAGACCAAAATGATAAAACAGAAAATACCAGTGAAAATTGTTAAGCCTGTGAGTCACGATGCCAAAAGAATGAGCGACGATAACGGTAGCGTTCCAAAAAGACAGAAAAAAATTAACGAAACGTACGACAAATTACAAGAATTGGCCACCAAAAGACATGCACTTCTCGAGGACGCGATTCGACTCTACCAATTTTACCGAGAGTGTGACGATTTTGAAAAGTGGATGAAGGACAAGGAGAAACTACTTGCGAGTGACGATCCTTCTGAGAGCGTCGAACAGGCCAAACGCAAATTTGAGAAATTTTTAACAGACTTGTCAGCAAACCATAAGCGAATAGAAGTTTTAGATGCGGAAGTGCAAAACTTTGAGGACCAGAACCATTCACAAATAGACAAAGTTCGAGCAAGACAAAGACAAATACATTCCTCCTGGGATCGTCTCAACAAACTTAAGGCACTTAAGGAGCGTAGTTTAGAAGGTGCTAGTAGTGTCGAATTATTCCAGAGAACCTGTGACGAAGCCAAAGACTGGATGCTAGAAAAGATGACCCAGTTGGACACTGCAGAGCTAGGACCTGACTTGAAAACAGTACAAGCATTACAACGACGTCACCAAAACCTCGAAAGGGAATTGGCTCCTGTTGAAGAAAAAGTTAAGAGAGTTACTTTACTTGCAAGTTCCGTAAAGAAAGCGTATCCTCAAGAGCTTAAAAATGTGGCCACAAGAGAAGTTGAAATAAACGGTCTATGGAAAAAAGTCAAAGATAAAGCGATGGATAGAAGAAATAGACTTCAGAACGCAGTTGGCCATAAAATATTTGATAACAGTTCCAGAGCGTTACTTGGTTGGGTGGCTAATGTAAAAGATCAATTAAATGCAGATGCATCCGCAAGAGATGTACAAACCGCCGAAAACTTGCTAAAGAATCACAAAGACCTACACGAAGAAATAAAAGCACACGAAGACGAGTAAGACGTTGTTTTATTTTCAGTAATTTTGTTAAAGTTAATAATTTTTTCGTTTTGTTAAGATTTGCTGAAATTACCGATTTGGGAAATAAACTTCTGAAGGCAAATCCTGGAGCCACAGATGTAGCTGAAACCTTGGATCGTTTAGCAGCAGAACATGAAGCCATACAGAGAGGCTGGAACGAGAAAGAAAAATGGCTCCAGCAATGTCTTCAGCTTCAAATGTTTAACAAAGAAGCTGACAATATTGATGCTGTCACTTCAAGTCATTTGGCTTATTTGGAATTCAACAATCTTGGAGTGAGTAAAATTTTGTGCTCTTTAGTTTGATAAGTCATAACTTGATTATTCTGCTTTTTTCTTCAGGAATCTCTGGATGAAGTGGAAGCTATTCTAAAACAACATAGAGCCTTTGCAAATACGCTTAACGCACAGGACGAGCGTCTCAAAGCCCTTTCTGATAAAGCTGACGTCCTCATTGCTGAAAACCATTATGGAGCCCAAAAGTAACTATTAAGGCATTAACATATTGTTGATTTTGAATAAAAAAAATTATAATATTTTCAGTATCGACGATAGACGCCAACAAGTACTGGAGCGTCGACAGAATGTGAAAGATCTGTGCCAAGCAAGAACCTACGCGCTAGAGGCTTCCAAAAACTTCCAAGAATTCCGTGCAGAAGTAAACGACTTAAGAGCTTGGCTAAACGAAAAGCTAAAAACTGCTTCAGACGAAAGTTACCGAGACCTTAGTAATCTTGAACGGAAACTCCAAAAGCACGAAGCTTTCGAACGAGAACTAAGAGCGAACGAAGGTCAACTTAGAACCGTTAACAAACTGGGTCAAGCTCTTATAGCTCAAGATAGTTATCAAAAAGACGAAGTTGCAAAAACCTTGCACAGCCTAAACGAAGAGTGGAAGCAATTGGTAGGAATCTCCTTAGAAAAAGGAAGGAGACTTAAACAAGCCATCACAGAATATGACTATAACGTTTCCATCGAAGATGTCTACATGAGATTAGAGGTCATAGAAACTACCATCAGTCACGCCCCAGTTGGAGACGATCTAAGATCATGTAAAGATCTGTTGAAAAAACACGAAACTATTGAAGCTGAATTGAGCTTGTGTAAAGCAAGAATCGAAGAACTGCTTCTTCAGAGTGACGAAATGGCACAAGAAGGACACTTCAACGCCCACAAAGTAAACAAAAAGGCTTTAGAAGCGAAAGCTAAGCTCGCAGATTTGGACGAACCTGTAAAAAGACGTCGAGAAGAACTAGAAGAATCTTTGAAATTCTACAAGTTCGCATTTGAGGTGGACTCAGAGTTACAATGGATAAAAGAACATTTTCCTGCTCTTGGTTCGGATAGTCTCGGACAGAATTTGCATCAAACTCAAACATTATATAAAAAACATAACAAACTTGAAGCAGAAATTTTAGGACATGAGCCCATTATCACGAAAACAGTAGAAAATGGGCAAGCCCTTGTTGACGAAGACCATCCTAGGAAGAAAAACGTATGTATTTACATTTACTACGTTTTATATTTATTTATATCCACAATAATATGACCCAAAAATATTAGTTTGTATGAATTTGTTTTCTTATCTTCTACAGTTTTCTGCGGAAACAATTTTTAAAATGTGGTAAGGTAATTGAGTGGCATAATATTGACTTTATTGTTATTTTTGTTAAACAGCATGAGTCGTGTATACCTTAAGGTGTTATTCTGACAAACACTATAATTATTGTGCTTTTTTCTGATGTAATGTATTAAAATGTTTTTTTTTTTAATTTTCTTCAACAACTATGTCAAGTTTGCAATTGAACTTAATGTTATCTCAATTGTGGCTGTAAACTTTATTTCCATTTTCTTTTTTGTAATAGTTTTAAGTATCTAACACATTGCTTTCGTTCAAAACTGCAACCATAACCATCTTCAATAATCTTTGGTTACAGTTGATCAAATTTGTTAAATTAAATTATTTTATTTCCTGTATATCTTGCAGTTGTCGTTTTAATTTAAATTATTATATTCAATGTCATTAATATATATCATGAATTTTAGGTTGAAAACTTATGTAAACAATTGTTACAATATTGGGAAGATCTTAACAATAACGTAAAATTACGATCAGCCAAACTGGAAGAAGCTCTGAAGGCACAACAATTTTTCTTCGATGCAAATGAAGTAGNGGTTATGTAACGTTTTTTTTTTTTTTTGGTTTGTGAACACAAACAAAACCCACAAATTTATTTAATGGATAAAAACGGAACTTAATTTCGTCGTCAACTAGTAAAAAAAATAAGGTCGTTAGACCTATTAACCTACTTATAACCCACCGAACGGAGCTTTTATTAATGCGAAACTAATTTAGGGGAAAGTCCACCGCCATTACCAGCCAGCGAACCGCCTAATAATCACACAAGTCGAAGGTACACATTAGAAAACAGTGGAGACATTCATGGTTAGTCAAAAGAAATTTCAATTGCATGTGCTTTACTACTTTTTTCTTGTCTTTGCCTAACATCACTTTATAATACATTACTTTTTTCCTGAATTATTCTACACATAGGTACTTCAACCATTTGTTAGACTGACGCAGATTTGTCTACAGAACTTAAAAAATAGTAAATACATTAATTTTTTTTTACACCATAGGTACATTTTCAAGAGTTCGTACAGAATAATCGTATAAAATGAAATTTATAGCTAATGTCTTCTAAAAGAAACCGTATAAAAATTCATTTGTAGGGATATTACTGTTTGGCTTTTCGGTAAAATTAATAAATTAATATTTTTCTTAGAATTTTGTCTGATGATTATTATCAAAACTGGATCAAAAAGAAAAGTTATTTTGTATTTGTTATAATCCTTATTAATGAAAAACACTTGCACACAATAAAAACACTTAGAGTACACACTCGATGGCGTAAACATAGCATCACGCATAATGTGAACAACATATTATGTGACCACCGTATACCGTGAACATTCATTAACGTGAAGAAATTGATAACATGAACAGTAATTGTTGTTTTTTTTCTGTTCACACTATCGAGTGTCTACTGTATTTCTTTATTTGCTGGGATACCGCCTTTTTAATTTATTTTTCTCTGTGAATGCTTTTTATCTCATTTAATAACACATCATTTTTATACGTTTGTTGTTTATACACTTTCGGTGCATGTAAAGGTACTTGTGGGTATTTTTTCAGCGAAGAAATATGAATAACTATACTATAGGTATAGTGAATTCCCTAACGTATTAATAGTTAGATGTGTTTTATATTAAGTACGTCGTTATAAGTATTCAAAAAAGAATAGTGCATTAAAGTTCATTTTTAATTATTAAAAAAGGTACCCATTTCATCTAAGCTAGTTTTACTCATGTATACTAAAACCCAGTTATAACAAATCAAATATTTAAAATTAAAAAACAAAATGTTGTTATGAATTTAGAGAAAGATGGGATAAATTGTGGCAGCAAATTCACAATCGTGAAAGACGACTTTTGGCAGCCGGTGAAATTCACCGTTTCCACAGAGATGTAGCAGAATCTCTATCCAGGATTCACGAAAAGAGTGCAGCATTGGGTACCGAACTTGGGAGAGATCTAAACTCAGCCCTTGCTCTTCTTCGAAGACAGGAGGCTTTTGATAATGAATTGGTAGCTCTTGAGGCTCAACTCCAAGTTCTTATTGACGACGGAGTGCGTTTACAAAACGCTTATCCAAGAAACAAGGAGCAAATACAACAGAAACAAGAATTAGTCATAACAGCATGGCAAGGTGTGTACAACAGTTAATTTTACCATTTTAATGTTTCATATACATATATCTAATTTCTGAACATAGGCCTCAAAGAAAGGGCGGACATGCGCAGAGATAAACTTCAAGCTAGCGTTGATCTTCAAAAATTCTTGGCCCAAGCACGAGATTTAACGAGTTGGGCATCCGGTTTACGAATCGCCATGAATGCAGAAGAGAGTGTCCGTACTCTGGCGCAAGCGCAAGCACTGAAAGCAGAACATGACGCTTTAAAAAGTGAAATCGAAGCAAGAGAAGAAAGTTTTCAAGCTGTTGCCGACATGACTACAGCAATGGCACAAACAGGGCACGATGCAGCTAACGAGGCAGTTGAAAGATGCACAGCTTTGCTGCAAGAGCACGACAAACTCCATGCGGCATGGCAAACAAAAAAGACACGCTTAGATCAAGTGATAGATTATTTATTCTTCCTTAGAGATGCTAAACAGATAGAAAATATTTGTAATACACAAGAAGCAGCATTAAGTAAGTAGTTAATATTTTAAGAAGCTAAGTAGCACTGTGATCTGTTTAATATTCTTAGGTGGCACTGATCTTGGAGAAACTGTGGATGAAGTAAGCAACCAGCTTAAGAAACATGACGCTTTCGAGAAACTTTTCAACACTCAAGAAGAAAGAGTAGATCAATTACTGAAATCTGCAGACAAACTAATAGCCCAAAAGCACTTTGAAACTCCTCAAATCTCAAGTAAAGTAGCTGATGTTCAGCAAAAACGGCAACGAGTTCGACAACTTTGCATGCAGAAACGCCATCAACTAGAAGACGCCCTTCTCTACGCTCAGTTCTTAAGAGACGTTGGAGACGCTCAAGCCTGGATTCACGAGAAGCAAAAGAAACTGCAATCCGAAATTAAAGTTGGAGAAGTCAATAGTTTGGACGATAAAATGAAAAAATTACAAAAATACCAAGCGTTTCAAGCAGAAGTCGCAGCTAACGAAGGCAACATAAAAGAGATAAAATACAAAGGTGAAACATTAGTACAAAAACGTCATAAGGCTACTCCAGATATTAAACGACAACTGGTAGATCTTGATCAAACGTGGAATCAGCTTATTCACGAAGTTGAACTGAGGGGAAAAGGTTTAGAAGAGGCTCATGATATTCTAGAGTTTAATAACCAACTCGATAAAATGGAAGCCTGGATTCGGGACAAAGAAGTCATGGTTCAAGCAGGGGATATTGGTGTAGATTATGAGCATTGTCAATCACTACAGCGCAAATTAGACGATGTAGACAGTGACATGAGAGTAGACGATACCACAATAAAAAGTATCAATGGTCTCGCCAATAAACTACTTAATCAAGGTCACCAGGGTGTACAACAAAGAAGAAATAACTTCATTAAAAAATGGCAAAATCTACAAGGTGCTCTTGGCCAATACAGAGAACGTTTACACGGGGCTTCAGAAGTTCATCTCTTTAATCGTGACATTGCTGATACTTCAGAAAGAATTAAAGAAAAAATATTGTCTATGGAAAAGAATGATCCTGGAAGAAGTTTGACTACAGTAGAAACGGCGCAACGCAAACAAGAGCAGCTGGAAAGAGAATTAACAGCTGTGGAAAATAAACTTAAAGATCACGACAAAGAGGCTTATAAACTTAGTCAAAAATATCCTGAAAATGCAGAACACATACAAGAGAAACTCGAAGAGTTACTCCAACAGTGGAACAATTTATTAAACGTAAAAGACAAGAAACGCCAAGATCTCGACAAAGCCCATACAAAACAAAAGTTTCTCGCTGAAATTAATGATTTGGATCTTTGGGTTATGGAAATTATCAAACGTATGGAAAACCAAAATAAACCCAACAGTGTAGCAGAGGCTGAAGCATTACTAGAGCTTCATAAAGAAAGAAAAGCAGAAATTGACGGAAGACAAGAAACCTTCGAGGCTCTGACTGAATTTGGCTTGAGTTTGGCTAAAAGCAACGATCACGAAGTAAACCAAGCAGTAGAAAAACTGAAGGAATTAGACGAACTCCTTTTAGACGCTTGGAAGAAACACCTTCAAGATTTAACTCATGCATATCAGCTCCAAGAATTCAAGGAACAGGCAGATCAATTAGACAGTTGGTTAGGTTCTAAAGAAGCTTTCTTGAACAACGACGATGTGGGAGAAACGCCAAGGGCAACCGATGCTTTAATAAGAAAACATCAAGACTTTGAAAAGTTATTAAATCAACAACTCAATAGAATTGACGATTTGGAAAAAGTTGGAGAAGAAATTTTAGCCGACGTTAATTATAATAACCAAGAAGTGAAAACACGATTGGATTCTGTTTTGGCCAGAAAGAGTCGTCTTATTGATGCAACAGAAGCCCGCGGTCAAAAATTGGAGGATTCTAGAGCCTTACATCAATTCAGAAGAAACATACATGACGTCGAAAACTGGTTAACACAAAAAATTCAAATTGCTAGTGACGAATCTTACAGAGATCCAAGCAACATGCAAAGTAAAATTCAAAAACACGCCGCGTTTGATGCTGAAATTTTGGCCAACCGTAACCGTATTCAAGCGGTATTAACCGAAGGAATAAACTTAATTAAAGAGAAACATTTTGCAAGTGAAGAAATCCGTATAAGAATCGACGATTTGGAAAACGATTGGAAACATCTCCAAGAAATATCGCATCTAAAAAGGGAACGACTTAATGATGCCTACCAAGCTCTTCTGTTTGACCGCGCGTTAGACGAATTTTTGGCATGGTTAGATGAAGTTGAAGCTCAATTGAAGTCTACAGATACAGGAAAAGACTTGGCAACGGTGAACAACCTTCTAAAGAAACACTCAGTTTTGGAAAACAATGTTCAACAACATTCAGAAAACTGCGAGGCAATAAATGAAGCAGCTGAACATTTTGTCAAAAACGGTCATTTTATGGCGAATGAGCTACAGGAAAGAGCTCAAGATGCAATCACCAGGTATCATCAACTCCAAGAACCTATGCAAGAAAGGAGGGATCATTTGGAGGCTTCATATATGTTACACCAATATATCAGAGATGTGGATGACGAACTACAATGGTTAGTAGACAGAGAACTTCTAGCTTCGTCTAAAGATTTAGGCAACAGTTTAACGACTGTTCAACATCTTCAGAAAAAGCATTTGGCTCTAGAAGCTGAACTATTATCTCGTGAACCTATAATAAATACATTGATAGCCAGAGCAGGACAGCTAACTAGATCGGGTCATAATGCTGCTCCTATAATCAATCAAAAAGCTAAAGAACTGAAAACCAAACTCGTCCAAATCAAAGATCTTTCCAGTATTAGAAAGCTGAGATTACAAGATGCCCTTGAAGCACAAACAGTTAGTAACACTATTTTTTATTTTTCCTTAAATAATATTACAATTTTTAGTATTACACCGAAGCAGCTGAGGCTGAAACTTGGTTGAGGGACAAAAGGCCTTTATTGGCCTCCAAGGAAATTGGAAAGGACGAAGATTCAACCCAATCACTTCAGAGGAAATTGGAAGGGCTTAGTTGCGAAGTTGAAGCATTTGAGAAAAATGTCGAGCGACTGGAAATTATCGCAAAGAAGTTGATCGATAGAAAACATTTTGACAGTCCAAATGTATCAGCAAAACAAGTAAGTTTATTTTTATAGTATAAAAATATTTTTAATATACCATGTGTTAATTTTTCTTTAGAAACAAATAGAATCACGATTTGATGAATTAAAAACTTTACTTAACGAACGAGAACAGAGACTTGTCGAAGCTTTAGAATACTTCAACTTCATTCGAGAGTGTAACGAATTACAAGAATGGATGACCGAACAACAAGTGAAGGCCGCATCTGAAGATTATGGTACGGACGTAGAACACGTTGAGCTTCTTATTAACGCTTTCGAAACGTTCCTCTCGAGTCTCAATAACAGCGAACAAAGAGTACATAACTGCGTCGATGGTGGTAAAAAACTAATCATGGTCAATAACGAACACAGTGATAAAATAGAAATGAAGGTAGCTGAAATACAAGATCAATGGGACGATCTTATAGAGCTTGCCCAGGCACGACATGACGCACTCCTCGGAGCGAAACAAGTGCATTTATTCGATAGGACTGCTGACGAAACAATAGCATGGATTATAGAAAAAGATGCAACTCTGGCTTTGGAAACCTATGAACAGGTAGAGAATATTTTCTCTTATTGTTAGATTCCTGTAATATATATAAAATGATATATATGTACATTGTAGGATTTAGAAAGCATCCAAGCTTTGATAAGAAAACATCAAGCCTTCGAAACGGAGTTAGCCGCGGTGAAAGAACAGGTCGAGGCAGTTTGTAAAGAAGCTAAAAAGTTAAGTGAACTATTTCCTGATGCTGAGGAGCACATCGAAGTAAAAAAAGAAGACACATTATCTTCTTGGGAAGAATTGCAAATCAAAGCAGAACAAAGACGAAATAATCTTCAAGAAGCAGAACAATTACAAACTTATTTCGATGAACACAGAGATTTAATGTAAAAATATCTAAACACTAATTGTTTTTTTTTTTTTTCAAAACTATTTCAATTACTTTTTAGGGCTTGGATAAATGAAATGCTGGCGAAAATCACTGCCCCAGATCTGCCTCACGATGTTACGGGTTCCGAACACCTAATAGAACGTCATAAAGAATTAAAAGCGGAAATTGACGCTCGCGAGGACTCATTTGAAAACTTCTTCAAAGTTGGTCGAAGATTAATTGCCGAAAATCACTTCTTATCTCAAGAAATTCAGGATCGTATCAATATTCTCAATCATCGCTGGAACCTTCTCCACAGAACGTGGCAACAAAGAAACGTAATCTACGAACAGCATCTTGATGTCCAGTTGTTCAAACGTGAAGCAAACAATTTAGAGAACTGGCTGCAGGTACGCGAAGGAAATCTCAAGGATGGAGTTTACGGAGAGAGCATTCCTCAAGTGGAAGAACTATTGAGGAAGCACGACGACTTTGAAAAGACCATTGAAGCTCAAGAAGATAAGTTCGCCGCTTTACAAAGACGAACACTGGTTGAAGAAGCTTTTGCCCGGCAGAAAGAAGAAGAAGCCAGAGCCCGACAAGCCGAGAAAGAACGATTGGAGCATGAGCGTATAGCCCAGCGGAAGCGTCTCGAAATGCAGAGGATAACGGAACAGCGACGTCTAGAACAACAAGATCGCAAGGAAAGGCCAAAAGAAATTCATGAAGAAAAGATGAATGGAGCTCCTTATGCCCAAGACAACGAAAAGAGCAATTCTACGTCCGCGTCATCTTTAACCAAATCAAACTCAGTGGCTCACATGTTTGGTGACAGAGTTCGAAAAGCGTCAGATGCTAACGTTAAAAGGGCAGAAAGCATGAAGGTTTCTTCCATTGCAAAACCAGTTAAGAAAACGCCTTCCTTCAACACGAAAAGAAGAGCGGGATCTTTCAGGAGCAAAGCAAGCGGTAAGAGAATTATTGTTTGTATAAAATTGACAAGTATTTTATGTATTAAATAATAATTTATTATGCAGAGGTAGAATTGCCTCCTGTAGAGATACAAGCTTTTCTGGAACGAAAACAAGTATTGAGCGCAGGTGGAAAACGAGCTCAAAACAGAGCATGGAAAAACTATTACACCGTCCTTTGCGGGCAACTTCTGTGTTTCTTTAAAAATCGAGACGATTTCGCGGCCAGCAAAGCGATTTCGTCACCCGTAGGAATTCACAACGCCATCTGTACCGTTGCCGATGACTATGTTAAAAGAAAACACACGTTTAGACTGGTGACACCTGAAGGGTCCGAATTTTTATTCGCCTGCAACAACGAGGCCGACATGCTCGAATGGGTGGGAAAGATCAGATTCAGGGCCAAGTTACCTCCAAGCCAACAGCTAATTAATTTTGAAGTACAAAAGGTAACTTTTCTGTTTATTTAACTTTTTTTGTATATTTGTCTAAATTTNGCATTAAGTAAGTAGTTAATATTTTAAGAAGCTAAGTAGCACTGTGATCTGTTTAATATTCTTAGGTGGCACTGATCTTGGAGAAACTGTGGATGAAGTAAGCAACCAGCTTAAGAAACATGACGCTTTCGAGAAACTTTCGTTCAAAACTGCAACCATAACCACTTTGGTTACAGTTGATCAAATTTGTTAAATAGTCCATTATTATTTGTACTGTCTTTCCAATTTTATTTCCTGTATATCTTGCAGTTGTCGTTTTAATTTAAATGATTATATTCAATGTCATTAATATATATCATGAATTTTAGGTTGAAAACTTATGTAAACAATTGTTACAATATTGGGAAGATCTTAACAATAACGTAAAATTACGATCAGCCAAACTGGAAGAAGCTCTGAAGGCACAACAATTTTTCTTCGATGCAAATGAAGTAGAATCATGGCTCAATGAAAAAAGTGAAGTTTTATCGAGTAGGGATTACGGAAGAGATCGTGATGCTGCCACAAAATTGCTTACAAAACACAAGGTAAATTAAATAAAAAGGAATAAAAATTTCGTGATAACGTTGACTTAAATTTTTCAGGCTTTGGAGCTGGAGTTGGAAACTTACAACGGAATAATTACGGAAATGGGTAGAGGAACTCAAGCTCTAATCCATTCTGGCCACCCAGAATCGAAAGCTATAGCTGAAAGGCAAGCTACTTTAGAGCACATGATCCGTTCTCTTCAACGTAGGGCTGCTGTAAGACAACATAGACTTATGGAGTCCTTGTTCAGACACGAATATTTCTTAGAATCAGAAGATCTAGATAGATGGATAGCTGAACAACTTCAGCATGCAGCATCTGAAGATTACGGACAAGATTATGAACATCTGTTGGTAAGTTAACAACGTATTTATTAACTTATGACTGGTTTTTTAAATACAATTTTATTTAGCTTTTACAAACAAAATTTGACGATTTTAAACATAGAGTGGAGGCAGGAACTGAGCGATTTAATCAATGCGAAGATCTCGCCCAGAAACTTATCAATAACGACAGTCCTTACAGCAAAGATATCGAGAGGAAGCAAAAACAAATCGAGTAAGTGTCTTTCATATACATACATAATTATAGTATAATTAGTGATTAATCAATGTACATACATACATACATATATATTTAGTATTATCACTCTTTTAACTGTCCTAAACATAGAAACTGCTTAATAGGTGTAGTGTGGTTGTTACATAATGTACAGCTTTTTAAAAATTAAGTTTTGTTTTGCTGTTTGGATTATTTATTAATTTCTTATTTTCAAGTCTTTTGTGTAGGGTTTCTTGTTCTTTTTTAATTGTTGTTTTTAATCATATACATACATAATTATAGTATAATTAGTGATTAATCAATGTACATACATACATACATATATATTTAGTATTATCACTCTTTTAACTGTTCTAAACATAGAAACTGCTTAATAGGTGTAGTGTGGTTGTTACATAATGTACAGCTTCTTAAAAATTAAGTTTTGTTTTGCTATTTGGATTATTTATTAATTTCTTATTTTCAAGTCTTTTGTGTAGGGTTTCTTGTTCTTTTTTAATTGTTGTTTTTAATCTACTAAACGCTTGGTTTCCACATTTTATTTTACTAACAGTAACGAGGCTGAGATATCCGAAGTTTCCACAGAAGTAGCCAATCATCATGAACAGTTAACGTAAGTAGCACATTGTAAGAAAGTATTTTTATTTGGAATTCAAC